TCCCCCAACCCAATGGAAAATGAGATCAGTGATATCGCCCTGAAAATGGACCCACCTTTGCCTGAGTCACCTCGAGCAGAATCGCCTACTCCATCCATGCATGACAGCCTCCCTCCATCTCCTACCCCCTCCCCAGTTCCAGTACCAGATTGCCACATTTCCACTGACCTTCCGCCCTCCATTAGTGCAAACTCTGACATTCCCACCCAGTTAGAAATAGTGGAACAATCTACATCCACTCCTTCAAATAGAGACTCCCCCATACCTCCTGTTATAGACCCCGAACAGCTACAGTTAGACCCAACATCTCCCTCTGTTAGTGATGTATCCCCTCGTCCCCCTACTCCCCCTAGCGCAGACACTGTTTTCCCCTCACCCACTCCCCCCCCACCCATTGACTCAGGCCATACACCCTCAGAGGCCTCTTCCACTCCCCCTGTTATAAATACTGTCAGCACCACTGCAGAAATTCCTACCGTTCTCCCCGTCACAGACATTGTGCCCACCTCCACTCCAGAATCTACCACTCTGACTATTCAGCCCACGCAGGATTCAGCAGCTTCCTCTTCTGTAGATTCAGCACCAACTCCCATCCCAGATTCAGGATCTACAGAAGCAGCTCCGTCTTCTCTTATGGACTGCACCGTTTCCTCCCCCATAGACTCTGGCGTCCTTTTTATCAGTGACAGTGCCAGCACAGAAAACAACACTGTCAATGGCGTAGACTCGTTATGATCCAGTGTTGCAGCCAGGAGAAAGTTGCACGAGGAAGACGCCCACGCCACATGAATAACCCAGAGAGGTGGATACGAAATGTCCTACTCAGACTTCAGGCACTTCCTGAAGATTGTCCCCACCTGGAGTTGAGTGGACATGTCTTACGGAGATGCTGTACGTTTCTCAATGTCCCCCCCTTCCTGCATTTGGCCAATAAATGAGACCACGCAAGTGAGAGTGCCAGAGGCTGGTTTGTGAAAATGTGACAGTATCTGCTCTTTTTGAATGTCACTAGAAATCACCAGCCTTTAAACTACTTTAATGTAAATGAATGGAAAAGCACTGTCTGTTATTTTAAAAAGACTTACCACTAAAACCCACAATCACTGAGTACTGGTGAAAAAAAAAAAAGATGCTAAAAACAAACATACAAGCAAAACAAAAAAATGAAATCACTGGTACTTTTGCTTAAATGAAATGTCCTTCTAACATATTTGTATAGAAATATCGCCTTACCTGTGTACCTAAAAAAGGAAATCTGAATGTTACAATGTATTTTTTTGCCGTTAAAGAGGTAAACAATCCAAATTGGAGGGGTTTTTCTAAATACGCCAAAAAACTACTCTGACCAAAATTAAATGTAGACCGTGCCAAAACAAATCAGTATAAATACAGTCTTTTCCTGTTTCCGGAAATACTGTTTAGTACAGTCCCCTGCCATAGACTGTGTATAGAATCAAGTGAATCAGATGACCCCCTTTTCAAAATAAGAAGTAAATCAAATTCATAAAAGACTGAAAGCTATATCATCATTTGATAAGTCGAAATTGAGAGATGGAGATTGCAACATTGCTTTCATCAACATGTGGTTCATGGTATGAACAGTGGTATTAGAGGAAAGGATGACCCATATTTTGTCGGTCTAAAGAAACTTTTATTTTTTCAATCAATTCAGTCAATGGAATTTATCGTATGCATTTGCGTTTATCTGTAAATTCGATATTGTAAGTAAATGCATAATTAGTTGTTGGGCTTGATTCAGCCTTTTTTTAAATTCAAAGTATTATTTAGATTTATCTCCCATGGCGTGCCCTTATTGTACAAAGCTATGCTACATTCTTACAGTATTTGTGGCACCTCAGTGTGGTGCAACCTTATTCTTTGCAGTTGGGACAAAGCATGAAAAATAATTGTGAATGTGTCAGCAAAACAAACCCTAAATGCAAACCTTAAAAAGACACGAAACCTATTTTTGAAATGAAACCAATGGATGACATAATGTTCAATGTGTTTTCCAAATCCTCTTCTGGCATTAACATAGTTTATGTATGTCAAGGTGTTCATATATTCACATGCACAACTAAGTTTACCTTTTTAAGAAATGCAATACATTATATTTGTCAAAAACAAATCTTAAAATACAGGTCAAATCCTTATTTATTTGTAGATTAACCTATTCATAATCTTACATTTTGACAAACTCTTGCATAAGGAGGCACTTTCAGACAAAGCCTGTGTCCGTCTGTGGACAGCATTATACTTGACTTGTGTGAAACTTGACAGTCGTTGTTACACACTTCATGGATGGAAGTTGTAATATTTGTCAAAGAAATGTGTATGATTACGGATAGACAACTGTTTACAACAATAATAATAATCTTAATCTTTACTGTAACAGAGCCAACTGAATGATGTCTTGTCATTTTAACTGTGATAAAACTCTCTCACGGTATCATGCAACATTAATCCAGGGAGTACTGATGATTTATAAAGGTGTCATTAAGGAGTCAAAGACAAGAACAGACTTGTGTTACTCACACCATGTTGTGGTAAACTTACAGGTACTTTACTCATCAAATTCTTCTTTTGCTTTCATCTGAGATTAATGTGCACTGACAAGGCGATACCTTTTGGTATCTGAATGATTTAGCAAACCTCCTTTTCTTTCCATCAGATGCAGCTTTTTTCTATTATTCCACTGATCTTTATTAGATCCTCAAGTCTACAAACTTCCATTAAGTGAAAGATTCATATCAACATTTAATGTCTTACATGCCATGCTGCTAAGCCTCAAAGCACAATGCCCTGCAATCATGTGATGTCAAATTAGGTGGAGCATGGCGTCTTCACGGGTATAAAAAAAGGGAAAATGAAGTGGGATTTTGAAAACAGAAATGAAAAGTAACCTTGCAATAACTTTTGCAATAGACCCACATGTAATCCACTTTGCGGAAGAGGGTGATGACACTGGATTTAAGAAGGAATTTTTTGGCATCCGCAGTATGTGTGTTGACTGCATTGGTCAGTGGCTTCACATTACTCTGTAATGCTTGTTGTCTGTAAGTGTTGGTCTCTCGTCTTTGTATGCGTATTGCAGGTATTGTGTATTGTATTGCCAAACCTCCATTCAACACCAGTGTAAAGACAGTGGCACAGCAAAACACAGCTAGTGTCTTCTCTAAGATCAGTTGCTTCCATTTTCACAACTCCCATGCAGCTATTGCTACACGGTGCTGATGGTGGTAATCTATCTGGGGTAAAATGTAAGTAATATCAGTGAAAGCAATGTAAGCACCAGCGATATGGTGGACTAGGAGACAGTGACAGGCAGAAAAGCAAAAAAAAAGAAGAGTGGTTTATGCCTTTGTAAATAGTAAATGTGTGGAAATTCCCAGCGTCGCCAGGATGAAGATAAGATGGACTGATGAATAGATTTCAAACATAGATAACAATCTCAGAGACATGAAGTTCCCAGTGTACACATTTCAGGTTTTGCTTCTCTCAACCGTGCGACCAGAATCTCCTGATGGGAGTTTTGAATGAATGTAAAAAACATGGATTGTACCATTTATAATTTCTGATTGTTTGGTTTCATTTTGTTTTTTGTTTTAACAGACATAATGCACTTGTATATAAGCCATACCTGTTGTTAAAATAAACCACTATTTATTGATCAACTGGATATCAGTGAGTGCCTCATTTTGTAACATTTCATGGATTTAATAGATGTCATGCTAAAAAAATATTAGTAGAGTTCATTAGCACTGCCTCACTAAAGATGCTGCGTTTGAGGCACACCAATTTCAAATTTTAAATATATAAATATGCCAAAGCACAATTAAAAAGGTGAAGAGTCTGGATATATTTAAGTTCAGAAAGGTTTTGAATTCATAATATGCTTTAAATTATAACGTTAAGCAGGTCTAATGTTAAACATGTTCACCAAATTTGCTTAAACACAGGGTGAATGTCATTAGTTTTCTAGGTTTTAAGTCATCAACCCATATTTTGGACCAATTCAAATGTGGTCCTGATGTCGATGCTAAAGGTGACCCCAAAAATATGACAATAAATCCAATGAGAAACATGATTATTAGTGACAATCCATTCGAGAGTTGTTGAGACATTTCTCTTCACAATTGTGAACCTCTGGTGGGGCTAGGAGAAAAGTCAGGGGAATAACACATGCATGGGAGATGTATGGGACTCTAAATGAGTTAAAACCTCATGGCAGGGTTAGCCTTCCCTATACAGCTAGCAATGCTATCAACTGTAAACAAGAAGCCCTGCCATAGACCATGTATTGTGGCTCTGCAGGGAGGCTATTGCTTTTTACCCAATCCTGAGTTGTCTTATGGAGTGGCTTTGTCTTAGAAGTTTAAACATATTTCATATTGCCGTTTATCATACGCTTACGTAGCTATCAAATTATCAAAAGTGGCTGCAGCAAATCTGAGGCCAGGTAGCAGCATGCAAATACAGGTCTGTTTCTGGATCTCCAGCCAAAATTAGCATTTGGGGCTGGGCTCAATAAATAAGGACAGGGCATGCAGCCATGGCTGTTGTATTTTTTTTAATAATAGAAGTAGCTCAAATACATAAGAGTTCATAGACAGAGTTAAAAACATAATCAGAAGTTCTAATTAGATTTTTAAGCATATTTTACACTTTTTCATACAGGTAAATAAAAGTTGCTTCTGAACAATGTTTTCACATAGCCCCAATTCAACCAGTTTATTTAGAACTGCAGCCTTCATTAGGATACATATTACACTATACAGTTTAGCATTCATGACAGCGAATATATAATTCCCTTGGCTTTATAGAACAGCCTCAGTCCAGCGATGAAAAGGCAACATTTGGCCTTCATCATGGGACAGGGTGATGTCAGGTGGATGATGCGGCACAATCGTCTAGCCCACTGCATCAAACTGGAGCTCTCCTATTGGCTGATGGGGACATTGGGATGCTGCGCTGTGTGTCACGTCATCTGACCAGCAGCACGTTTATCTATCTCACCGGCTCAACACTCGCTCTAGAAATGAAGCAAGTGCAGATTTAGAGAGGAATCACAGCGACAAGAGACTGAAGACCGGACGCCGGTGAAGTAACAACAACAGACCATCTCTGCCCGCATCTGCAGCTCACCATGAGGGAAATCGTTCACATCCAGGCTGGACAGTGTGGTAATCAGATTGGGGCGAAGGTATGAATATTACCATTAATTTTGGAAGTGAGATAATTAACGTGATTTAAATGCGTAACCTGCCATGAGTTAATTGCTGGGATGTTGAATACTTTTTCGAATCATTAAATTCCACTTTTTGGTCCTCATGTGCAGTATGTATAAATACTGTTCAGATATCATTAATTGTTATATATGTGCAGGGTCCGGCCGGTCAGTGCAGGGATGGTGCTCCCGCTGCTACGTGTCATTTTGTCACCAGACAGATGCGCAGTTACTAAAAGCAGGCCTGACGCTCGCGCTTTAACCCGTTGTTCTACCATGTTATGTTGCATCATAACCACAACAATTGAAGTTCATATGATTGTGTGTGTCCCATGACAGTTCTGGGAGGTGATAAGTGATGAGCATGGCATCGACCCCACCGGTAGTTACCAAGGTGACAGTGACCTGCAGCTGGAGAGGATAAATGTCTACTACAACGAGGCATCAGGTAAAATAAGTTGGTTTTAAATAAACCACATGTTTGCATCAGACTAATAATATACATGAAGCTTTGTTTCCATAACTCATATTCGTGCATGACCTTATGCTACATAGACCTAATTTGAATGCCACAGTGTGCCAATGTCACTAATTTAGCTCCAAGGGGAAAGTAGGTCCCACTATGAGTGCAAAGAAAATTAGGCCAGTGAATCTGCTAAAATATCTCTCTCGCTGTCTCTCTCCCTCTCTTTCTCTTTCTCTATAGGGAGCACAGGTACGTGCATTCTCTGTATAGCTGACCCCGAGCCCTCTGTGCCTTGGTCCCACCTCAGTATCTGATTTATTCATGTGCATGTACAAGGTCATTGCGTGTCATTTCTCACAGCTGCTCTGCATTGAAGTAAACAACAAACGAGGTTCAGTCATCATGCCGCTCTGTGTGAGCTTGTGAAGGGCAAGTCAGTGCAGATCTCATTCCATGTGTAGGAAGGGGTTGGTCCTTCATTGTCATTGAAAACATCTAAGGCAGTACAGGATGCGCCAGCCTAAACAGAATGTTCACTACCGCTACCCTGTTTTCTAGCAGCAAGCTTTATTGATCCTTTGTTTTCACATCGCATGCTGGCATTAGAGTCATGTACTGGGTCACTATTGAATGACAATTGACTGAGCATCACATGCATTATATTCTCCTTACATAATGAAGAGGATGGACTTCCAGATAAAGCATCATTAAAACATACACAGAAAATAAGCAAAATAAATCAGTGGTGGGGGTTAGAAAGACGGCACCTTTGATTGAATAGACTCTGCAGAACTCAGCACTCTAAAGCTCCACGGGTCCAGAATAAGAAGTGCAGCATACTGCAGCAGTTTGCCCGCAATAGCGCTTACAGTTGCCAAGAGAGGGAAGTAAAGTTAAACAAACAAACAAACAAAAGAAAGCACCATGCAATCATATCCAGCTTGATGGACAGCTTCTAGTATACATCCAACAAAAGGTTGTTGACTAAAAAGATAACATAAGCCAACAGAACTGCTGCATTACAATTCCTTTGGGTCGCTATGCTTACTTTGAAAGAAATCGTTTTTTAAAATACTGTCAGTTTTTTGCAATAGTTAACCACACATGTTCTGACTGATTGAGACTGTTGATATATAACTCCACCCTTCCATCCATTAACTCTCTGTTCCGTCCAAAGGCAGCAAATATGTCCCTCGTGCCATTCTGGTGGATCTGGAGCCAGGAACCATGGATTCGGTTCGCTCCGGGCCATTTGGACAGCTATTCAGGCCTGACAACTTTATCTTTGGTGAGTTGACGATAATAGACAATGTCACCACTCACTCTGAATCAACTGCACAAACAAAAAGTGTGTGTGTCAGCAGCCACTGTCATATCCTATCAAGCTTTGCTTAGTGTCACCTGCTAGCACTGTACAACAATGTTTATTTACAGCATGTAGCTTCTGCAGCATCTCAGCAATGTGCCAGTTTTGTGATGCATTGCCAATGTGCAGCTGAGTAAGGGCTTAGACAGCTCTAATGGTGTCTCAGCGAAAAATAAATCTACAAGGAGATGATGCTGCAGTGCTGCTCACATGTAGGGGCCAATAAACTGCAACACAGGAGGACTCTCCATTATAAATGTTTAAGTTAATCAGATCTCAATAGAGCTAAAGAGCTAATTTATTAATGATTACACAGCTTTAATTGTTTACATTTTCTCATGTAACAACTTAACGCATCTGAGTGCCTGTTTCAGACGTATATTTTACAAGACTTCAGATGAATATTTCACATATATAAAAAATGTCCTTATGAATCGTTAAAACACATCTAGCAATAGTTGATACTGTAGATTATCAGTAAGGCATTAGAAAACATAATGGTTGTAAATAAAAGAGTGTCCATCTAAAGCGGCTGTCAGGCTAAATAGTAACATGAACATTTAAACATGTAGATATGATGTTTAACATGTTCACCATGTAGTTAAGCCTATAAGGATATTACAATTCCCAACAGGCACTTAATACAAAGTACAGCTGGGCTGATGGGAATGTATTAGGCAAATTCAATCATTAAGATCCATCCTTTGGGTATCATTTAATGTTTGTACACAATGTTATGGCAATTCATCAATAAAGACAAGTGTCAACATCATTTATCCAACAATCCAATGATTTGTCTTTAAACATTGCATGCACCGTGCAGGTCAAAGTGGAGCAGGAAATAACTGGGCCAAGGGTCACTACACCGAGGGCGCTGAGCTGATGGACTCGGTACTGGACGTGGTGAGAAAGGAGTCAGAGAACTGTGACTGCCTGCAGGGCTTTCAGCTCACCCACTCCCTGGGTGGAGGTACAGGTTCAGGTATGGGTACGCTGCTCATCAGTAAGATCCGCGAGGAGTACCCTGACCGCATCATGAACACCTTCAGCGTCATGCCTTCCCCAAAGGTGTCCGACACTGTGGTGGAGCCCTACAACGCCACTCTCTCCGTCCACCAGCTAGTGGAGAACACGGATGAGACCTTCAGCATTGACAATGAGGCCCTGTACGATATTTGTTTCCGCACACTGAAGCTGACCACACCTACCTACGGAGACCTCAACCACCTGGTGTCGGCCACCATGAGTGGGGTGACCACCTGTCTGCGTTTCCCTGGCCAACTCAACGCTGACCTCCGTAAGCTAGCTGTCAACATGGTGCCATTTCCTCGCTTGCATTTCTTCATGCCAGGTTTTGCGCCCCTCACTAGCAGGGGCAGTCAGCAGTATCGCGCCCTCTCCGTGCCAGAGCTCACACAGCAAATGTTCGATGCCAAAAACATGATGGCAGCCTGTGACCCTCGTCACGGACGCTACCTCACAGTGGCAGCCATCTTCCGCGGCCGTATGTCAATGAAAGAAGTGGATGAGCAGATGTTGAGTGTACAGAACAAGAACAGCAGCTACTTCGTTGAATGGATTCCCAACAATGTCAAGACCGCTGTTTGCGACATCCCACCCCGTGGTCTCAAGATGTCCGCCACCTTCATTGGCAACAGCACGGCCATCCAGGAGCTGTTCAGGAGGATCTCTGAGCAGTTCACTGCCATGTTCCGCCGCAAGGCCTTCCTCCACTGGTACACCGGCGAGGGAATGGATGAGATGGAGTTCACTGAGGCCGAGAGCAACATGAATGACCTGGTGTCTGAGTACCAGCAGTACCAGGATGCGACGGCTGATGAGATGGGCGAGTATGAAGAAGATGAAATCGAGGACGAGGAAGAGGTCCGTCATGATGTTCGCCACTGATTGTAAAACACTAACATGACATTGAGTGAAAAAATCCTTTATAAATATGAATTGTTGTTGGACAGCGCAGTGAGATCATATAAGGTACTTGAGAGATGCAGGTGTACAAATACAAATTGCAGTGTGCAGATCACAATAAAATATAGCTATTAAGCTTAAAAAAAATATTGCATAAACGTATGGCTTATACTGACAAAAATCATGAGTGGTGCTAGAAACAAAGAAAACGTGCAAGTACTATCATAATAGGTTTTAGTCACGCTTTGCCAGTTTAAAAAAAATAAGTACAGTCTTGTTCTCAAACACAGTTTTGCAACATACTCCAACGTGCATTCACTGTTCAAGTCTCCAATAAAGTTCAAGTCCTGTCAATACTTGTATTCTTTTTATTTAATATTTACACAGGTGCAAAAATAAGGGCAAGCTTGCCTCTGCATTTATTGCTAAATATTTCCTTGTTTTAGGTGTTTCGTGTTATAATGTTTGATATTTTAACCATAAAACTCTGTATAACGTCATTTTCTTAAGGGATGATGGTATTCTATATATTTTATTTGTCAATAAATACCATTAAACTTAAAACCAGCACACAATCTAATGCTACACGTACTATAAAGTATTATATGTTTATCTATATCTGCCTGTAGATTATTAATTTGTGCCAAGGACAACAATTGTTGTCCAGAAACTATTAAAAACCCATCAATAAACTGCAAAGACCAGATGACCTGCTCTATCTTAACAATAAACCTGGGCAATGAGTTCACATAAACAGCCTTAGTGCAGTGAACAGTACAGAGCCTAGCTTTTTGAGAAAATAACTTTTTAAAGATTGAGGAAAATATGTGTGATTGTGAAAAGGTTGCCTTTCCACCTGGTTCCTGTTCCCCAAGTCCAAACATGTTTCCCCATAATTTCCTGTTGTAGGGAGGATCAGTAACCTGTTATCGAGAGGATCAGTCACGTAGTTCTTCAGTTGATAACATTTTATGGTGTGCTCATCTGTATGTACTGATTGCCAAAAATGAATTATGATGTCAGAAGTAACTTAAATATCTTGTATTTATGGTGGGTTCATTACTTTATTACTATTTTGGATGCTTACTAAGTTCAGCTCACCCTATCCTAACACGGGCAGTGAGGTGTGGCTGAGAAGGTGAAGTGTTATTCATCTTAGAAAGGAAGGGGTGTTGGCAGATTACTTTGAGGTTGCTGTTTTGATTTGCTTAGGGTATTTTTGCTTCAGAATATTTAAGTTTTATTGATATTCCCGAAATAAATTTTTGCCACTTTTTTCGCACAACTCCTGCTTTTCAACCTGTTTTTTCTTCCTCCCTTTTCAACATTTGGTTGTGCAAAACCACCTAATTTGGCCAGTATATGGGGTGCCAGTACAACAGAATCAGCTGTTTAAACATCGAAGGAATGTGCTATGTTAAGTATTAAAGGACAACTGCATTATAGCTTTTGTCTTTTTGGGATTTGTCGGGAATTATAAATATATAGAATTCCCTAGCCTTATCCTTTAATGTACTGGAATGTTAAAGGAACATCGATTAACAACCTCATATCAGATCAATTTTGCAGTATATAAAGTGGAGAGTTATACGGCTTAACATTTTACTAGAGAGAGTCTTGCTTCATTTGAATTGCCTAATAGTGTCAAATCCAATGTAACATTATTTTTGAAATATTCATTCCAAGCAACCAGGGAGGATCCCATAGTGACAGTAAACAAATAGAGATTCAGAGTGATGTCAAAACACGTCATAACATTCTTGAAATGCACACGATGAAAGTGACATGATGAAACTTGCTGATATGACGCTTGGAATCATGGCAAGATACTTTGCCTTTCAAAAAGTTAGAGTAGAAGCTGGCTGTTGAAATACTCTCCAAGGGGTTTGAGGTTTTCAAAACAAAAATGTTACGTCCCTCCACACCCCAGTAATGTCTGTGAAAGCAAGAATGTTCCATTTGACATGTGGTGAAACAGCTTAAAATGACTGATGGCTTTAGCAAAACCAAGAAAAACACGAAACTGAGTACTTACAATTGTTTGCCCTGGACCCAAGGGACATTTGGTTATCATAATGGGTCTTATATGTGAAAAAATAAACTAGAAGTAACACATTTTTTTGGGGAAAATGAGGCGCAATAAAATAAATATGGAATTGAATTCAATGATCCCAAACTTGCAGAGAAAAAGAGAAAGATCTTTGTTAAGTAGAACTGAGTTACCGCACTGATTTATTACAAGCTTACACATCAAATACACACAAATAAAAATATGCACGTATGAGTGTTAAACTGTCTGAACAAACAGAAGTCCCTTTAGGATAGTTTTTACTCTTTAATAGGCAACCTGAAAAGATACATTGTTAACTTTTCCCAACTCAACGGAAAACTCTTTTCTGCTGTATCTTATACTTTACATTTGCCAACAAGGATACACACCTTAGTGACAGTATGCAGCTTGTGCACCATCTAACCAATACTATACGCCCATCTGTTGAAAGCATGACTGGTTAACTGACATAAAAACGTATTACAATTTAAATTAAAACCTCTCACAGCTCAGCTCTAAACTCTGGTTAAAAGACGAAAACTACACGCAGGCCTTTCATGCAGCCAAATCTTATTTAAATCAACTCTTAGCCATTTTCCGACTACCTGTATTGTTAATGACCTGGATACAAATCCATGATAGGAGACCTGCTTTTCTACTTTCCCTTCTTTGTTTATGTTAAGCATGACTGAATCCTTTTTGGTCAGCCACAAAGAAACCAGTTGTATTTGTTCTACATATGTAGGCATGCCAATTGTCTACTTGGAAGAGCTTGAATATTCTCTTGAAACCCCCCCTCAATGAAGCATTTTACAACGTTTTGTGGTTTAGGTATAAAAGATGACTGCAAATGTGTCATATATATATAAAGATGAGCAATTTAAAAATGTAGTATTTATATATATTTTTCAAAAACTTTTAGAAAGAGGACTTTACAATTCTGTTTGAGAGTGTTTTTAGCGGATGAAAATCCAAACTCAATGTGTATTAATGATGCCGTTCCTGTTAAAAGCTTAATGACGGGAACATTTCAACAGTAAAATAATGTCCCTTAACTAAGGCACTGAGTAATGTAATGTGCAGTTTCCATGCACTTGTTATAACACACACAAACAGGTCAATACAATGGCTTTTTTTAATTCAATTTTATTACGACAGAAGGTGCAAAACTTAAAAAAAAGAAGAAACATCCTCATTATCATGACAAATACTGCTTTGATAAAACTACAGCATCTATGGTATTTGTAAATCTATAGCAAGAACAGCAATATCAAACAGCGTCATTTAACCAAATGTTTTCAGTGCTTGGCAAGCTCATCCATTTTACCTATCTACTGTACACACCCAACACCCTGTCAACAGCACACAACAACACATTAAACAATCAAAAGCCTGTCTTAGTTAAGTAAGTGTGGCACAATATACATTTGATAAAATAGGTCCATCAGCCATTGTGCACATTATTTTTGTTAAGATTTGGCACTAAAATCTTTTGGGTCTTTACAATTTAGAAAAAACACATGCTCTGTAGAAATAATACAAATAGTGCAACGATAACATAGAGAATCTGTGCAGTATCCTCTTTGGTTTATAGTCTGTGTTGACTTCTGTGTGTTGTCTAATGTTAAAAACAGTCTGCTCTCTTTACATTGCCATTCATCATGCACACACTTTTCTCCGGTCTACAGTCAAGACAGCCTTATCTATCTCCCAAACAGAGGCCACCCATATAGTATTTGTAGATTAGTCAGTAAAACTAACTTCAACAATTTGTAAAAGGTCAGCGACGCATCAGGCATGGCTAAAGCTAAACTATTACAACATGTAACTACAGCAGCTTTAGAATTACAACACATAATCAAAATACAGATCTTAGAGAACGTTATCTAGAGTTCAAAGCATATATAGAAACATGCAAAATGACAGTAGCTACAAAACTTTGCTTTACCTCTGCCTTAGTCCCTCTCTCAGTAGTTGTACCGCTAAATGCTAACAACTTACGGTTTAATTATAGTCATTTCAACTTCCAGTAAGCGACTAAAGTTTAGGATTCTATGAACTTTCTGTCTTGTTATACTCAAGAATAAGTTAAACAGTTTAGGTTTTAACTGTCCCACAGTACATAGTAATCATAGTGTAACTGTACCAATTACTGTACATAACTTTTTGTCAGATGCTGAGATATTTGGATTTTAAAAACAAAATATCTGCATCCTAAATAATAACCTTGTGAGACTTAAGGAGCATAAACCAGGGAATTGACATTTAACTGCAATAGGAGATAGGTTAAACACTGCTCCATTTTATTTACTTGGCTGTTGCTGCCCTGAAGCTATTTAGTTTTGCACCTGAAATATACACATTGCGTTTATGGCTGTTCTTTGGTGCCTAAATGGTCATTGTTGGGACCAAGTTAAGAGAGTTATCACACTTGCCAAGGTTTTTCCTCTGCCGGGTTGAAAGTACAGAAGTGAAGACAGAGCCTCCAAATGTCAGAGGGTTTGCCAAATTCTATACTTTACACTAATATTGACAGAGCCTAATTTTAGCAGGTAGCATACAATAAATCAATCCACTTTTTGGCAACAACAAATATCATTTTAATAGTTTTAGTATGGACAAATGTATTGTATAGCTAACACTGTCATGTAGTCAAGTTAGCTATACTGAGCAGCACTGTTATCACTAGATGAGGACATACAGTATTGCACTTTTGGTCAAGTAGAATAAACTATTATTTTATCAGATTTGCCACAATTTGTCCATCTGTATGTACATATACCCCGGTATAGTTCAGTTTACTAAAATGTACTGGAGTATATTTAAAAAGAAGCATGAAATTAGTGGATATGCTCAAATTAAATATTGGCTGCTTTAAGCTCTTGTATTCGATTCAATATTTCTCTCAGTGACTGAGATCTTCTTACGTTGCACAACCACTTTCTGGCTTCCCTTTGTTTTGGGTGTGGCTTTCAGAGCAGTCTCCTCATTGGACCCTGTAGAGCCGTGAGAATTTGAAGAAAATCTCTGAGTTTGAAACTGCACACCTTGCCCTCTGACCTCCACACCCTGCCCTGCAGACCCATATCCTGTCTGAAGAAAGCCCTGGGCTATGTTTGCTCCTTGCACTCCACCTGAGGACGCATTCTCCACCACCAACATTTGTCCGGACCTGGAGAGAGTTCCTTGTGAAATGCCTTGTACTACTTGCCCTGCCATTCCACCCATTCCTACTTGTCTATCCACAAGGACCATACCCTGAGAGCCTTGTAGACCACCAACTTGCATCAGCCCCTGACCTAAC